TACAGATTTCCTTTGTTAAGAATAATTTGTGAAAAATATAAAAATGTATGAAGAGATATGCACTGTAATACCTATATTGGGTACAACATGTTTTATAATCGGGCTCCATTCATTGGTGGTTAATTTGGACAGAACCTCTGGCCCCAGCAAGATCTTTTTGATCCAGCTCACAATGTATGTATCCTCATAAGAAGAATAAAATCAAAAGATTATCTGTACCAGCAGGCTACCCCAACCTAACTCTGAGTAAGGTTCCCTGGGTCAGTGTCGTTGAAAATCTATCTGCAGTTGATACAACGTATAGATTTGGCTGAGAGCCCGAATTTGCTTTATTCCTTCACTGTCACATCTCATACAGCAGCCTTTCAATCATCATTACGGGACCAAGTGAACGAGTGGTTGACAGCATGAACAATGATCATCAACCAGATCACCCAATACAATCGGTTATCTTTAACAAACACACGTTTTTGAGAACTTTTATTCTCCCTAGTTTCCATTGGGGAATAAAGGAATGTTGTTTTATATCACAAGCAGTTCATGCTAGCTACGTAACAACGACATGTAATCGAGTGTGGACGTGTGACTGAAAGCATGAGCAACGTCCACGCAATTAGGTGCACTGGCACGCAATCAGCTATGTCTGGTCTTACCAATAACAATGCACGCTCCCCTTACGACAAATTTGGGGGTTCACTCTAATCTGCGTCTCCATGGGAACAACACAATGGAAGCAGCAGATACTCACTGAAGGACAATTTCTCCAAAGATTAAGAATTTGTATATACGACATGGATTCATAATCTACACTTGAAGCTATTAAGAACGCAATTTGACATTCATACTTTCTGTACTCACACAAATGTTAACATATACATATGTAACTGGCAGATATGTTTTAAGTGAACATCTGTGGATAATTTCATCTGAAAATGTCTAATCAACAACATCAGTGAAGCAACAACGACATCAAACAAAGGAGGGGTCACTTGCAGTCAATATTGTGTGTGTCCACCGTGCACTGCAAGACATGCACTGTGGGCATTGAAAGACACAAATTTCTCAAGAACAGCTGTGGGATGGTCTGATGTTGAAGGGCCTGTGTGAATTCAGCAACTGTCCTTGGTGGCACAAGTTGATTTCGAACTCGCCGTCCAAGTTCATCCCGCAGATTCTCGATTGGGTTCATGTCTGGGGACAATGAAGGCCAGTCCATCACACGCACATACTCATTATTCAAAAATCCCTTCTCCTCTGGCTGCATGGGGACGTCCATTATCATGCTGAAACACAAAATGGTTACGACCGCCATGTTGATCCAGCATTGTGAGTACAACAGGACAAAGGATATTGTCCATAACGTTAAGCATTCAGACTGCCGTTAACCACTACCATCTGGGATCGGAAGTTGGCATTGATAGCACACCAGATCATGACACCGCCCCCTCCAAAACGATCATGTTCAAGGACACAGTTTGGCGCAAGTCTTTCTCCTCGACGTCGATAGATCCGTTGACGTCCATCTGCAAAAGATACGTTAAACCTGGATTCATCTGAAAAAATGACATCTCGCCAAGGACTGTTGCCAAGATTGGCCCCATTAGGTGCCCATCGCTATCTGGCCAGTCTGTGGTGATGCAATAAGGTTGGACCACGGTACGGGCGACGAGACCGGATGTTGAAAGCAGCAAGGCGTCTTCGCACCGTTTTGGCGCTGACATGACGTTGTCTTGTCCCGTGTATCAGCAGCTGTTTGGAACCGATTTCGCAAGTGTGAAACTCAGATATTGCGGTCCTGGCGAGCTGTCGTCACAGGTGGTGCCCCAGGTTGCGAACGATCAGCAAAACTTCCGGTGGCCCGAAAACGTTGTCTGAGTCGACCAACAGTGGATGGATGCACATTAAAGTGCCTGGTTATCATCAAATCTGAAGCACCTTGGCTGACCATACCGATAGCCTGATTCCTTCCGTCTTGTGTCAAGCGTGTCATTTTCTCAAAGTGATCGAGTTTCACAATTCCTTGTGCTTTTGAAGGGCCTGGGTGCAGGTAATGCACGTGCACAACGTGTTTCACGAATGTGGTTGTGTTTACGAGAAATGTCAAAGGTTCAGTTTTAAGCATCAAAGTTCATTTAAGAGGAATGCTCGGGGACTCGAACTCAATATGGGCCAGAATAACAGTCTTTTATCCCTACATCCTCTGTATCGCAGGAAAAAAATCTTCAATAGAACTTTTGAAAGTTCCATGACAACAAATACCAATTGCGTTTTTAATGGCTTTTAATATACTGAGTCAAAAAAGAAACTTCACAAAATGTAATTTGAAAAATAATGAATAATTTTCTCTGATGATACATCTATGTATCCGAAATGGGATCCCTATCTTTCGACTCTAGAAAAACGTTAGCAAAACCCACTCAAACCCATCCATTCGTCGTGCAAATGACGTTAGTGCCAAATCAGGTTTTGCACGTGCAGTCGATCACGTGATCTTCGCATCGAAGTTTTCTTCGTATGCACGTTTTTGCATTGGCCTCAAGAATTGAAAAACACTTTTAAACCACAGTTCTAACGGTACTTGAATGCCACGATTGTCAAATGTGCAACGTGAACGTGCCGTTGGCATGTTGCAAGCGGGAAGATCAGTTATTGACGTCGCAAGAGCAATGGGATGCAGCCGTCGTACCGTGTATGACTTGCGAGGTCGTCTACAACAAACTGGCACCACTTCTGATCGCCCAAGGTCGGGTCGTCCACGTGTGACGTCACGAGCAGAAGACCGTCAAATCGTCCTACGTCACCTACGTGACAGATTTCTGCCAGCTACACGAACCAGGGCTGAGATGTTTAGAGGTCGACTGTCCTCACAGACCATTCGAAATCGGTTGCGGGCTGCCAATCTCCATTCTCGATGTCCATATCGTGGGCCAATATTGACGCTGTTTCATCAACGTCAACGTCTGCTGTGGGCCCAACGTCACCTCCGATGGACCCAGAGAGACTGGAATCGAGTCGTCTTTAGCGATGAATCCAGGTTTACCCTCGGATTCGCGGACGGCAGGCATAGAGTCTGGAGACGACGTCGTGAACGGTATGCCCAATGTTGTGTACAGGAAGTCGACAGATTCGGGGGCGGAAGTTGCATGGTGTGGGGTGCTTTCTGTGGGAACAACCGTTCCCGACTTCTGGTCATCCGTTGAAACCTCACAGCTGCTGCTCACCGCGACCAGGTGCTCACCCCTGAACTCGTTCCTTTCATGGCGGCTCATGGCCCAGCTCTACAGTTCCAGCATGATAATGCTCGGCCGCATACCGCGATGTTGACACGAAATGTCCTTCAAAACGCTAGAATCAACGTCATGGACTGGCCATCGAGGTCCCCTGACCTTAATCCAAAAGAGCACGTTTGGGATGCACTTGGGAGAAGGCTTCGTGGTCTCAGGAACCATCCTCAGAATTTGCAGGAACTTGGCGCTGCCTTGCAAGAGCAATGGCGCAGAATCCCCAACTACGTGTTCGCAAGCATCAGACAGTCGATGAGGAGACGGTGTTTGGCAGTGGTGAATGCGCGGGGCGGCCATACACGATATTGAACTGAGACATTTCGCATTTTTATTCTTGTGACTTGACATTCTGTATACCCATGTTTTGGAACGGCGGTGTAGCCTAATGGAACTGATTATGACACTGTCAGTGTATCGAGTACATCACACAGATCTCAGCAATGAAATAATAACAATTTAACCATGTTACCATGTCTTGTTCTTTTATAGTGCCCTGAAGAAAGAATGTGAAGTTTCTTTTTTTGACTCAGTATATATGACCAGAGCACTACATACAAATACCGGACATGTCGGGCAGTAGGTTTCAGTTTCCAAAACCAAGGAGTTTCGCCATCAGTTATACAAGATATGAAACCTCAGAGACGAAAAGGCTTTCAACAAATAGTCACTATTTCCGTGTGTGTCTTTGTGTTTTAGTATATGCGTTCTTGCGCTCTTGCATGTTTGTTGTTTTTGTGGGTTTGTTTGTTGTTTAACGCTGTCCTGAGCATTGTTCCCTAAATCAGCAGAAAGCCTTCAACCCAATCAATCACCATTACGCTTTATATCATTGAAAGAGAAGAGTTTTAATCAACCATATGCACCATAATATGCACCCTGGCTACTTAAAAGGATGCCAAAAGAGTCACATTTCAAAAACATATACAACAAATGTAATTATTAAGTCACTGATCAAGTAGTATTGGCCAAATTCTTGATAACAGCTACTCGACTGTTTTCTCTGTTGTGTTTCTGTTAAACAAATCTGTAATAAACAGAAGCAAATAAAGTAAAGTTCTGGGGCTCCTTTCACGAAGCAACCTTAACTAAGGTTAACCTTAACTCTTTAACATTGCACTATGGTTACCTTTAATAGTTACTTACGATCAGACCCGTAAATGTCCGGGTTAGAATATTGATATTCAGTAAACCATGCTTGTCGTAAGAGGCGTCTAACGGGATCGGGTGGTCAGGCTCGCTGACTTGGTTGACAAATGCTGCTCATGTTGTTGGTCACCGGATTGTGTAGTCCAGACTCGATTATTTACAGACCGCCGCCATATAGCTGGAATATTGCCGAGTGCAGCGTAAAACTAAACTCACTCACTCACGATCACATTAGTGAAAGGAGGCCCTGGTCTATGTATGAGGCTCTAAAAACGATGACTTACAGAGAAATACACCATTGGCTTATCAAAGCAGGGCACTGGCAAATTTGGAATGTAAATATTTTAAAAACAGTTAGATAAAAACAAAATCTGTTTGTTTGCTGTTTAAAGCTACACTCAGCAATATTCCTGTTATACGGTGGCGGTCTGTACCTAATCAAGTCTGGCCCAGACAGTCCAGTGATCAACAGTATGAGCATCGATCTATGCAACTGGTAAATGATAACATGTGTCAACCAAGTCAGCGAGCCTGACCACCCTCGCCCCTTTTGGGGGGATCAATAACAGAAGCACTTCGATCACTTTATAACATTAATAATCTGAAGCACACAAACATTCACAGAAATCAGCAGAATTATTAAATAGTTCATGTTGCCATGTTGTCTATGTTGTAAACAAAGACTTGATGTCAGCATGGCGTGTTCTACATAAATACATGCACTTACAAAGTAGGACTTGACACCGATGTCAATTCAGGTGATCCGGCAATTTCAAGCATTTGAGAAACACGTTTGAACCCAACAATAATCTTAACAAATACGAAAGTTAATCAGTAAGATTAAATCAAGGTCAAGATTTGTGTTGTAGCAAAAGTTGTATTTACATGTTGAACAACACAACAACTACGGGAGTACAAATTTCATTTTATTTGAACAAAATATGGCTAAGTAATAGCTGGAAATAACGTTGTCATTGTCTGCTCTAATGTCGTTGAATTTGTACAGGATGGCCTGAACAAGCATGTGAAGTTTTAGTCAGTCTAAGTAAACTTAGGCTCAGCATTATTCAGTAAAGCAGTGTAATGAATAATACTGAGCCTTAGTTTACTTAGACTGGGTTTTAGTATCATTAGACATATTTATGAGGTATGACTCTAGATTTTATACCAAGTTTCAGGCCTATTTGTTCAGCTAGATGTTACTGTGACGTGGGTGGTCTTACATTTTCAAACACATTGCATATTGCAAACAGCAACACTATTTCTCAATATGAAGATCAGGATATTGTGCTCCTGTCATTGAGCATTACATTCCACTAAAACAACCATACAGTGATTTGTGACACAAATCACTCAATAATAATATAAACACATTCATATAAAACAATTCATAAATCTAATTTCACTAACATGATACGAATTGGCAAAACAATGCTGATCTCGAAAGTACATTTCAGTACATTCAACAACGGAAGTAGCACTATCACTGTTTTTCCAGTGAAACACATTCATTAAATCTTTAAAAACTGCATGAACATACATGAATAATCCCATCACTGAGACCACAATATACCATTGCCTGCATGGATTCAGAAGCAGTCACTGGATTCATGGTGAAATTACAGATTAAAATGAAACTGAGATGTACCTAAAACCATTTATCAGATTCACTGATGTCAGTATTTCCTTACATTCCCATAAATTCAGCTGCAAATCATTGTGAGTTTCAAGATTAGCAGGTGCAACCAAGTATTTGATGCCACAATAATTCATTTGGTCATGGGCGGATCAAGGGGTGGGTGGGGGTTCAGGGGTTCGAACCCCCTCCCTTTGAAAATTCCTGGATGCGCCTATGTTTGGTACCAACAGCACCTCAAATACTAAAAACATTCAAAAACGTACAAAAACCCAAACCTGCAGGATTATCGATTGACAGGGTACGACATGAATGTGCAAAGACACATGATTATTTCACAAAGACACACTTGAACCTGAGCTACACTGTGTCAACAAACTAGCAATGTGCAGCTTGAGGCTGCAGGGTAATTAATACGAACAAAAGAAAACCACTTGCTGAGAAGATTTTTGTCAATGGCTAAATGGTGCAAATTTGAATATTGAATATTAATTAAAACAACAAAATTATCAAGTCTGCCTTCGGCAACAAACAGATGAATCCATTACAAGGGAGCTTATTTTTCCATGAACAAAAGTTCAAGTGAAAGTGAACACTGGTACAATGTTGAGACTGTTCTTTCCAACAGTTCAGAGAACCCATGCCAGTGACCTGAAACTGATAAGCAGGTCAGTGTACGAAGGGAAGTAACTCCCTGTCCATTACTAAAACTCCCTGATATTTTTCTTATTTCACGCAATCACATAATATGTTAAAATCACCCGTGTTGGCCATAAGTACAATGCTGGATTCGTAAATATATTTGTCTTGGTTTCGTTGAAATGTCACTTAACAATGTTTAAAACGGAATCAGACCAATGTTAGACAAAAGGTCATGCACATTCAACATGGAAGCCTTCATTGGTCTGAATATTGAAATGGATCACTCCACTTGTTTTCAACCAAAGTTCACCCTCCGATAGTTTTCAAGTGAAAAACATTTTCCAATGGTCTGATTGTCTTGCAACAGATGGTCATATATAATCATTGTTAGTTTTATGCAGCATCTGTCCAGAGAAAGGCAATGTGATGTGCCCATTTTATTGGAAGATGTGACTTTGAATGCACATGGTAAAATATAATCAAGCTCTCATGACTCCTTTGACTGGGTATGAACATAAAAAAATAAAAATAAATATGTAAATACAAACTGACCCTCCAATATATATTTGCATGTGCACATTGGGTGGATGTTGGTGTGGCATGTATTTCAATGGGACTTGTTTTAAGGTGGATATGGTCTAAAAGTTGGAATTAATTTTGCTTGTGGGGTTTGTTCAGGCGGTCGCATAATTGTACACAAGAAACCTGTTGGCCTGGATGAAATACTTCTCCGTAAAAACATCATGATATTTTGGTTTAACAAGTATTTTCATGGAATAATATTACCAATAGTAACTCTGTCAGCTCTGATCTTTGGCAAAACATCCTCAACCAAAACAAGTCAACCATTCTGCTAATGTCCCTTATCAAAATGACATCACTGGGCGGATTGTAGAATTGACATATAGAGTATTATTAGTTGAGCACAATAGACCGAACAAAACTTTATTGGTTAGTTGGCTTGTTGTTTAATGCCACACTCAGCAATATTCCAGCAATATGGCGGCAGTCTGTAAATAATTGAGTCTGGACCAGACAATCCAGTGATCAACAGCATGAGCATCGATTTGGGCAATACATATTTGCCTCAAGTTTCAGTGGTTGTAGTTGGATGCTGCAAGTTTCCAAAATAACAGGGTTCCAGATTAACCAGGTGTCAGTGTTCAAATACTGTTACAACTACAGGTGAAATAATGTGACAAAAATGTGACAAGCCTTTTAGTCATGCTGCCAACTCCGATTCACACACACTACTCATGCTACAGCAAAGCAATCATAGCACAAACTACAAACATAATGATACATATCACTTCTGACTTATCCATGACAAAATGGATCCTCTTTTGATGCAGCAATGCCCACAGCAACACATGCTCCAAGACAAAGTGTCAATTTTATCCAGGGTATGTTAGCCTTGACACTTGGGGTCAGGACCCGAGTGGCATAAAGGTCATGGTCATCCTGTGACACAAGGTCAGGGTGAATGTGAGACAGAACTTCAATGGCGGCGCGGTATCCGGCCTGCACAGCTCCACTCATGTAGCCACACCACTGAGTTGCGGTCTCCGTGCCAGCAAAGTGGACTCTGGAACAAAGTGGTACATGGGTGGTACAAACATCATTATTGTATTGGTAATTTTATTAATACTTACAGATGTGAGGATCAAGGGTCACACAAAATCCAAACACCCTATGTCAACTAAATTGTGGACTGGGTGGTCACTTCGTCTGTAGTTTGGCATGAAATGCATGTAGACCCGTTTTTTTGTGCATATCTCTTCATCCAATGACCCAATCGATCTCAAACTGTGCAAGTGGATATTTTGTCAGACAACCTAATCACATTGTATTAAAGAATCTGTCTATGTCACTGTCAACAAAATAAACAGCAGAACGCAGATGCCTTGCAGAGGGAGGGAGCCAATGACCTGTAACAGCGGCAGTGTTCATCCAGATAGATTTTTAGATATCCCCCGCCATGACTGGCTGTTCCGTTTCTGCGGTTTCACCCCGTCGCGACAGATAACAACTTTTGCGTTTTCAAAGATGATAGTTTCTTAAACAACTTTTTGGTGGAGTCCAGAAAATTTTCAAATATAAGAAAGCTGTTGGGTATTAGTAAATGATAAACGTGTACTAAATATATTTATGTCGCAATTTTGTACAATGATCAAATTTGCAATTCATCAGTCCGTTTCTGACTCAAACGGACTGTACATATGATTTGGATAAAAACAAACAAATCAATTTTATTGAAAACCAGCCCCAGTGATATATGAAATGTCAGTGTGGAAACTAGACTTGCTTGATTGAGGGCTACAGCAGTGAAGTAAGCTTGGTAAATACAAGGATAAATGAAGCAATTCTGGGACTGTGAAACAACTGTTGTCAGTGTCTGTGAAATACAATTATTGGTATAAAAAGATTAATTATCAAGTATTAATTTAATAGAAAGAAGAACGGTGTTAAGTGGCAGACTTCATACAGATATCTGAACAATTAAAAGAAACAGGTAGTGTGCACATAAATAGTTATCAAAATTACGCATTATTTTGTCAATAGAATTCGATGAAATAATCGCACCCTTATGCGTCCTTGTATTATATTTCCTTACACTAAATTGATCCCGGCTACTACAAGCCTCAGACCAGTTATTGGATTTACCATATGTATGTGATATAACAGATGCTCTGGTGAAACTCTGTATCTTTCTGAGTGAGTGTGTGAGTGAGTGAGTATGGTTTTACGCCGCTTTAGCAATATTCCAGCAATATAAGAAAATGGGAACACCAGAAATAGGCTTCACACATTCTATCCATGTGTGGAATCGAACCCGGGTCTTCGGCGTGACGAACTTACGCTTTAACTACTAGGCTACCCGACCGCCCCCTATCCTTCTCACCTGTTCACTGGCTCCCTCAGTCCAGCAGCAAAGTACCGCATGGCCCCAGTTCCCAGACAGCAGACCGGCCCACCCCTCGTGTACGGTTCCAGGTTCCAGTCCTTCTCCTGGTAGTCCAGCACATCCAGCGTCGATTTGCCAAAGTATGAGGACAGTTGGTGCAACACACAGTGTTGCCGATCTTCCGCCTGTGTAACATAAATGTTCTTAGTTGTCAGCTTTATATCCATAGAAAACGTAGCAAGGCTTAAACAATAACATGCAAATGTTTGGATATATACTGACAGAAACAAATAAAGGATCACAGGAAAATTCAAGCATTCCTTTATTATTTTCCAGTTTTCATCACCATTGTGCTATTCAAAGCTGGTGAATCCGTGAAGGTCCGGGGTAGAATATTGATCTTCAGCAACCCATGCTTGTCGAAAGAGGAGACTAACTGGATCAGGTGGTCAGGTTCGCTGACTTGCTTGACACATGTCATCGGTTCCCAATTGCGCAGATCCATGCTCATGTTGTTGTTAACTGGATTGTCTGGTCCAGACTCGATTATTTACAGACCACCGCAATATAGCTGGAATATTGCTGAGTGCGGCGTAAAACTAAACTCACTCTCTCACTTCAAAGCTGGTGAGGAAAACTGGAAAATATTAAAGGAATGCTTAAATTTTCCTGTAACCCTTTATTTGTTTCTCTCAGTATATCATGAAGCAAGCATGTCTAGATCTGACAGGCCATCAATGGAATGAGCAACTGGAATTACTAGATCTGTGAATATAATGTTGTGATGTCTATAGTGTACATTGTCACATCAGGCGAGCAGGAACATATTGCTCTAGGTATTATGATATCATGAAGCAACTGTCTAAATCAGACAAAAAGACCATCAATAGTGAGCAATTGGTATGTAATGTAATCAAGTATATGTTCCCATTTCTTCAGTATGAAAATATTTCCTATATTATCAAATTCCAAACTTAGAAGTCTCTGATAAAATTTGAAATACAATCATTGAAGTAAGTACCACTTCTCCCATCCTACAGTCAGTGAAACTTCCCAGCCAGTTTCCTATTTGAACACAATTTACTTTATCAAGTTCATTTTTGAATGAACGTAATAGTTTACTGGAGACTGATTTAGAATACCTTCTAGGCAATAGCAATTAAAGGCCATCCTGATGTGTTCATCTGCTGCACAGTTGAAATGTTTTCAGAGCGGATGTTTTCTACCCATACCTCCTTCTGTATAATCTGTATATCATACAGCCATGATGGTTCCAGCAAATGGTATTACAAATAAGACTGGGACGGATAATGCTGATACCCAGGTCGGATGGGTAACGAGTTGGACCCGGGTACCCGTCTCAATACCTGGACCTGTTATGATCATGTGACTAATAGATAACACAATGTAATATGTTATCGTTTCATGATTAACAGGTTGTATTGTCTTTAAAGATTTAGACATACTTTACAGTCATTTCTTTTGAATATAATACATGGTGAAAATATTGAAAAACTAAAACTTTAAGCCTCAGAGCTAAAGAATATATTTCCATTTCTTGCAAATTTGATGTCAGGAATTAACATAACAGGTATCCGGGTAGGGTAATAGGGGGTGGGGAACCCAGGTAGAAAATTTGGACTCGTCCCAGCCCTAATTACAAAGTACAGTAAACAGTTAGGTCTGTGTACTGGCAAATAAGTTGCATTACAATATATTGCGATTCAGGTACCCGTATTGCGATTGCGATACGTAGTGCGATATATATTGGGAACTTAAGTGTTTGACAGTGAGTGACACTAATTGTGCATGTCAATCCTATTTTCTACATCATTAGTCCCAAAACATATATGTTATGGTTCTGATAACAGCACTTTCAAAATTAGGATGCATAATCAGGGATTCTATTTTCTTCTTTATACAATTTATAGTATTACACTATGCCCTTTTGTCCTTGAATAATGAAGGAAAACATTTGTTGTGAATGAAAGTCTGTGTTGAGTATACTTAAAACCATAAAGATAAACACAAAAATTTCATATGCGTTCTTTACCCAGTGGACCAGTTCTAAGAAAAAATATTGAGTGAGTGAGTAGGCTGGGTTTTATGCCGCTTTTAGCAATATTCCAGCAATATCACGGCAGGGGACACCAGAAATGGGTTTCACACATTGTACCCGTGTGGGGAATCGAACCTTGGTCTTCGGTGAGACGAGCAAACCCGACCGGCCCAGAAAAAATATTCAAATATTCGTATCGTTTGAAAAGCGTATTGCGATATACTGGTATACCGGTAATACCGTACAGTCCTATAAACAATACACAACATACTCAAAAGGACAATTAATTTTAGTTCATTATAACAGTAGGTTGTTATACCCATTCAACTAAAATAGACAGGAAGTAGCCAGGACTAAACAATAATATGTTATATACATCAGTTTGTTATAAACGTGTTTATAGCATAGTTTCTTGTATTTCTGTACTCACACTGGTTGCTGCCCACTGTATTGCTTGATATCCACCAAGGAAACCCACAAGAGCCGGATTTCCTTTTGGAGACGTGGCATCGTAAATGACGCACAGTGGCCCTGAATCACATGATGGTAACAGTGATGGGCCACCATTGGACACTGCTTCGCCAGACTGGCCCTGCTCGCGCCAAAAGGCCTGTGGAAGAGAACAGACTGTAAGATATTTCTTGAATAGTTTTACACTGTAATAAATGATTTTAAATAATGTGCACATAGAAGAACCCCTGCTAAAATCGTCTGATTATCTTTGGTATTTCTAAATTATTATGTAGCAATGACATCCTAACCCTCCTGTACCTCATACTGTTGATGGATCCTAACCCTCCTCTACCTCATACTGTTGATGGATCCTAACCCTCCTGTACCTCATACTGTTGATGGATCCTAACCCTCCTGTACCTCATACTGTTGATGGATCCTAACCCTCCTGTACCTCATACTGTTGATGGATCCTAACCCTCCTGTACCTCATACTGATGGATCCTAACCCTCCAGTACCTCATACTGTTGATGGATCCTAACCCTCCTGTACCTTATACTGTTGATGGATCCTAACCCTCCTGTACCTTATACTGTTGATGGATCCTAACCCTCCTGTACCTCATACTGTTGATGGATCCTAACCCTCCTGTACCTATACTGTTGATGGATCCTAACCCTCCTGTACCTCATACTGTTGATGGATCCTAACCCTCCTGTACCTCATACTGTTGATGGATCCTAACCCTCCTGTACCTCATACTGTTGATGGATCCTAACCCTCCTGTACCTCATACTGTTGATGGATCCTAACCCTCCTACCTGTTGATTGGATCCTAACCTCCTGTACCTCATACTGTTGATGGATCCTAACCCTCCTGGACCTTATACTGTTGATGGATCCTAACCCTCCTGTACCTCATACTGTTGATGGATCCTAACCCTACTGTTGATGGATCCTAACCCTCCAGTACCTCATACTGTTGATGGATCCTAACCCTCCTGTACCTCATACTGTTGATGGATCCTAACCCTCCTGTACCTTATACTGTTGATGGATCCTAACCCTCCTGTACCTCATACTGTTGATGGACCCTAATCCTCCTGGACCTTATACTGTTGATGGATCCTACCCTCCTGTACCTTATACTGTCGATGGATCCTAACCCTCCTGTACCTCATACTGTTGATGGATCCTAACTCTCCTGTACCTCATACTGATGATGGATCCTAACCCTCCTGTGTGTTATATTGTAGATGGATCCTAACCCTCCTGTACCTTATACTGTTGACGTATGATTACCCTCCTGTCTCTTATACTGATGATGGATTCTTACTGTCTTGTATGTAATGATGACTTTGATCATGTTCCCTAATGGCATCCTCCTCATCAGTTCCTGTTTTGTGGCAGGCAGTGGTGGGTGGAAGTCGATGTGAGCTGTAGAGAATGAAAATGTTCTGTGCAAACAACAGAATTACCATGATTATCATTGACATACTGCTAAACCACCAGTCTGTCAATGGGAGTTCCAAATATTGTAGTGGTCACAGGAAAAAGAATCATAGCACTAACATAATGACCAGTGGCATCATTAGGTGACTCTGAGAATCGGAGGCAGATCCAGTTCCAAGCACCTGCTGGGTCATAAGTTTAGTTAATTTAACAAAATCTTTGGTTTGATTCTTTCATCTGTAAGATTAGTATTTAGAGTGTATTTCTGTAGTATTACCCCAAAGTCAGAAATATCTCAAGTCCATAATCCTGGTGGCATGTAAACAATCAAGTCTAGACAAGGCTGGCAAATCTCAGGATTCTGAACAGTGTTCTGTTTAGGCTGCCAGGCCTCAACAGTCCCTATGGTAACCTGGCATTCTTGTAGCTTAAATGGTAACCTGGCATTCTTGTAGCTTAAATGGTAACCTTACAAATTTGAATATCATCACAGCAAACATATGCCTAATTGTTCATGATTTAAGGAGACCCGTGAAGATCCAGGTTAGAACTGATCTTCAGTAACCCATGTTTGCCGTAACAGGCGACTAACGGGATCGGGTGGTCAGGCTCACTGACTGGGTTGACACATGTCATCGTATCCCAATTGCATACATCGATGCTCATGCTGTTGATCACTGGATTTTCTGGTCCAGACTCAATTATTTATAGACCGCCGCCATATAGCTGGAATATTGCTCAGTGCGCAGTAAAATTAAACTCACTCACTCATCCATGATTTAAGGAAGTTAAGATTCTGAACAAAATTGCTTGAAACTTTTGAGAGGACACATCTGCCCCAACCCAACAATGCTGACGACTCACCAATGGCTGTGGGCGGAACAGCACAGATCACCCTCTTACACTCGTACTTGTGACCGGGGAGAGTCTTTACAGTCACGCCTGTCTCGTTCTGAAACATAAGGCAGCAGGACTGATTGTATGTGGTCAGTCAGTCCTTGAAGTGTGTTGGGGAGGAATGTAGAGCCCATCATTCTGAACATATCCATATCTGAGAAGAAATTTGTTACACACAGTAAAAGCATTCAGGTACATGAACTGTTAGTTTCATGTTTTCCCTTGTATTCCTATACTGAACAAACGAAAATAAGATTTTTGTTACTATACAGTATACATGCCTGTGTAACCAAGAGTGAACACACAAAAAGAAAACTTACATGTTACCTAGTACCCGAGATGCAATCAGACAGTGAAGCCTAGACTGTACACAGGGACCCAATTGCAACCCGTCAATATTAAGCTCTGACAACTACTAAACATCTGCAGTTGCCCTGTAGTCACCGGTGTGAACATGGGCAGTCTGACCAATCACCAGTCAGACTGTATCTAACAGAGACACCGGCGTGTATGATATGAAATAGCTGTGAATACTGGTACACCTACCTGTATGATAAAGGATAATTGTCCACCTACCTGTACGATAGAAGATACTGGTCCACCTACCTGTATGATAGAGGATATTGGTCCACCTGCATGAATGATAGAGGATATTGGTCCACCTACCTGAATGATAGAGGATATTGGTCCACCTACCTGAATGATAGAGGATACTGGTCCACCTACCTGTACGATAGAAGATACTGGTCCACCTACCTGTATGATAGAGGATACTGGTCCACCTACCTGTTTGATAGAGGATACTGGTCCACCTACCTGTATGACTGAAGATACTGGTCCACCTACCTGTATGGTAGAAGATACTGGTCCACCTACCTGTATGATTGAAGATACAGGCTGATCCAGGTTAACATTCATGGCCCCGACAGTAGACACCATCCGCTGAGAGATCTGTTGTGTACCACCCTGAAGAAGGAAATATATCGATACCATTGATCACTTATCAAACTTCAGTCGTTCACTGAACCCAACATACAAACTCTACTTTACTAAAAAGGAATGCAAATGTGCTTTGAATGGTATTTCAATATTATCATGGAATGTCACCTTCATGTGGAAGTAAAGTGAATAAAGTGATGAAGATTTTTTATAACCACACAAAACTATTGATCAAGAAACATGTTTTGCATTGTCCTCACTGTCATGACTAACAATTTTTCATGCCACATTTTAGAAAAGTCGTGTGTCTTAACCAGGGTTTTACATTGCTCTTCAAAACTGGGAGTCCTGGGGACTCAGTTTATGTTTTTTGGAGAGTCCATTTATAAAAATTGGGAGTCCATCAGTTTGCATGAAATCAATGGTCATGGTTGCTTACCATTTGATAATGATTATGCTATAATATGTGTTACTTCCAATATCATTAGAATGTCTATACTTTAATATGGGATATCATTACAAATTCGTACAGTTCTTTCCCAGAAGAAAATTATATTGCATCCACATGGACGCACATGATTTTAGTTTGGGGGTACATCATCAAATTCCTGCGTCCAATACGCAGGAATCATGCATCCTGCAAAACCCTGGTCTTAAGTTTCTACAGCATTACATCTTTCGGTACATTTGTTTTAAAAAGATTTCCTTGTGATTGCTGACTTGAAGTCATATTCAATCTCACAATAACTGACAAGCCATTTGATTCATTTCAAAATTCAGAATATCTTTTCATCTAGAACTCTTAAATCATTAAACGAAACACTCAATAATGAATACAAAAAGGCAAGGAAAGATAACGCTTCAGTAAAAGCTGACCAAACTTGACCAACCACACTATAAATTATGAGTACCATCACTTTCATCACAAACATGTTTCCTGTAAACTTATGTTCACACTGTCATCATCTAACTATGCCATAACATGTTCCATGCAGTCTCTGTGTTACTCCTTACATTAAGTGAATCGGGTACCTGTATTTTAAACTCCTGGGCTGTGAACTCTGTCGCTTCAACTAGGTTCTTGATTCCATCCGACGCAGCGCTGACATACATTAAGTAGAACAATAACGATATTTGTGTCATCTCAACTCCCAGCATGCAACGTCCAGCGGCTTCAACTGTTTCCTTTGCACCTGTGTAAGTGAGTGAGTCAGTGATATAAAACGCCAAGTCACTTTCAGACATATTTTCAATAGAATATGCTAGCCAGTATACATATGTACTAAAAACTCCTGTTGTGAAAACCTGCAACATATCACATATTATTGTTGTTATTAAACTGTAAATTTACAATAAACTCCACATATATACTACTTATCCTATCTCACACTGTTAATTTCATACTTTACTTCATCTTAGATGCTGATTTGAAAACGATCCCCCAAAACAGTGTCTAGCTTAAATACAACAACCTCACCCAAACACAAGCCTCCACATTATCAACCATCACTAAAAATGGAATCCCACATTCCTGCTCAAATTGACATTCCAAGCTTACTCATTGTCTTTCGTATGTTTGGAGTATTTCCACGACAGGATCAAAAGCACAGTGTGGATAATTCGTTAAAGATTACAAAGATGCAACGGCGAAAAAAGAAATCAGCTCCTCAACCTTCCTGGCCCCTTGGAGAAACACTTTACCAAGTAGGAGCCTTAATAAAGCCTTAAGCTGCCAGATATTGTAACCAAAACTAACTTGCAATTAAGGTAAGCCCCAAAAAGACAATAATTAAAACAGAGGCATTCTGTGAATAAATGGAGCTACCAACTCTTGAAATATTTAAAGTAGATACACAATGTATGTACATTTACATGATATGATGAAAGGTAATGACAGGAATGAATATTAAATGTTCACTTGACACAAATATTCTCAAAGCAAAAGTATCTGTTATCACAAATATGACTACTTAACAAAATAATGATGATTTGGAAGTAAGCTCAGCTGTCAGTCTGGCATAGTGAACAACAGAACTGCACTGGTATATCCCGGCAAGCTTTGCACGATACGATGCACAATTCATTCGTTTCAGTATTGATTCATATTTTGACATTATCATGTTAATGTTGCACCAATATTTCATATAATTATAAATAACTTTTAGTTAAATACAAACAAGTCATTAATAAAATTGAACTTAACACATTTTTCTCTTGTAATTTTGTTATACAGAACATCAAATGTGACTAGACAAATGTGTGTGGCTGAATCTCAGTCTTCCTTTACTCTAGTAATCTTTACCAACATGTTCAGTCACTGCATGGTCAGCTATGGTATGAGCTTGCCATCCAGGTAATGCCTGCTTGTTACGTACAAAATGTCGGAAATATATATAGCGATACATAGCGTATCGTGACCTCAGTATCGAGATATGTATTGTATCGTGAGGCCCTGTATCATGACTTCCCTAGTGAACAATAAACAGTGTCGCTGTCATCTGTAGTATTATGATGTATTTTAAGAAAATAAAAGAATATCTGGACTTTTAACCTTTTCTGCTAAATCAGCAGAAAGCCTTCAACCCAATCAATCACCATTACGCCTTAAATCATTGAAAGAGAAGAGGTTTGAGGTACCATATGCAAGATTATCAGAACCCTTTGGTACTTCAAAGAATGGCACAGAAGAGTAACTTTTCCAAAACATGCACAACAAATTACATTTGTTGTTACTGCATGGAACAAACCTTTCACAACAGCTACTAGACAGTTACATAACCTTTTTCACTGGTGTATTTCTGTAAAACAAATTTATAACATCCTGATAAAAATACAGCCATGTACTAGATGTGTCACGATTCAGTCTCACTTCGATTCAATGCGATTATCGATCGATTCAATTCATTCGATTCGATTAATGTGGATTCGATTCACCAAAGCTGAGGACAAAGTCAAATTTGACTGTAATGTCACTGTTAGTTCTGTGCAAGGAATTTTCACTTGAAAGACATGCCCTCTGGGCACTTACAATGTCTCCGGCAGTGGAGAATACCCTCTCACTGGCCACACTTGTAGCAGCGAATTTTCAACATAATTTCTTCCGATTTCAAGTGAAATAAACTCTCAGTTACTTTATGAATCAAATCGAAATGGTTGCATTTGAAATCGAGATCGAATCGTACATCTATCGATTCGATTTTCGATGAACCGAACCGAATCGCAACACTTCTACCATGTACAGTTCTGGTCTTAGCATGCGGCGCTAAAAAAGTTTACTTACAGACAGGTCTCACCTGGGCTTTATCAAAGCAGGGGACAGGTTATGGCAAAATATACATGTACTTTTAAAAAACCCAATAGGGTAAATATGAACATGAATTATTTTAACCTTTGGGATTGGTTTTCAAAAAAATAACTGTTCCTCACCTTTATGGCTAAATGAATAGATAAAACAAGAAAGATTCTACTTTAGGTCATTTGTAGAAAGGTGGAAAAAATGAAAACAGTTCCACCTTTTGTCCACATTGTTTGTTGCAGGAAGGTATCCACGGACATGGCGTCCCACTCAGCAGCGTGTTGACAAGACCAGGGTTCCTCCATATTCACCTCTCTACGCATGTCCTCAACCTGTTGGAAATGTAAACAAATAGTATAAAAATCTTCTTCATTAAATTAGCCTGTGAAGATATGGGTTAGAATTGATCTTCAGTAACCCATGCTTGTCATAAGAGGCCACTAACGGGATCAGATGGTCAGACTCGCTGGCTTGGTTGACACACATGACATCGTATCCCAGTTGCGTAGATCGATGCTCATGCTGTTAATCACTGGATTGTCTGGTCCAGACTCGATTATTTACAGACTGATGCCACAGAGCTGGAATATTGCTGAGTAAACCTAAACTAACTCACTCACTCAACGTGTTGGTAAACAAATAGTATAAAAATCATCATTAATCTAATTTTTTACACATTTTAAAAAATAATTCAACTCGAGACCTATTCATATAATCATCCTCTCTATTACTAATGAATTAAAAAAACAGTAAAGAAGCCAAGGATGTTATTATACAAAACAACTTTCGCGATGCAACTGTTGTAAGTCTACGATAAAGTAGGTGAGATAAAATCACCTCTGGGTTAACTTCACTTTGGTACAACTGCACCCAGTTGTCTAGGGTGCTACAATTTACTATGCGGAGTTGCCTCCCTTCAAGTAAGACACGAGTGACCATGGGATGGAAGCTAGATTGATCGTTTCTTGATTTGACAACACCAAGTCAGTGGTATTCATCAAAGAACTGCATCACTTAAAGGTTTCATCCAATATGAAGTTTATATATATATGTTCAACATGGAGCTTGAGTCAACCCATTCCCTCACTCATCAAAAATTAAAGGGCTCACAATTATAAATACCTATAAAACATACCCCAGACAAAAACACTGTCAAAGTAAACAATGTCTGTATCACAGTATGCTTAATTGATTACATGTGCTAGTTGTAAACTATATCACACCTACACATTCAAACAATAATTACCCTAGTAATTCACAAAGGTTCAATAACTTCAGTAATAACATAGCTCGGTTAAATAATTACAGATACGTCATTCTCCATGTTAAGCACCCTGCTGCAATGACCATTCTTCCTCCCCCTTCATCCCAAAGTCCATAATTTATCTTCATAAACACAGCATACTGAGAATGAAAATTTACACGTCCATATTGCCTCTGTTCACCAAGCAGAAAAAATGAGTATTAACCTTCTAGCGCCTCACAGGCAGCTTGGGTTATCTGGGATAATAAAAATTCAGATTGTGTGCTTTAAGCATCCTCATGTGCACTTTGAGCAGGATATGAAGCTTGGAAAGGCGCGTTATAAATTTTCTTATTATTATAATTATTTTCTTCCTTATATATCTGAATATTTCTTACAGGAATGAAATACACAATGCCATTTTTAGAAAGTGGTCAAATGTAACATATATTATATTTGGGATTACACTTTCTCAATAAAAAAGTACAGATTCTAGCACTAGGACTCAACCCCCCATAAGTACTAGAATCTGTACTTTACTGAGAAAGTGTAATCCCAAATATAGCATATGTTACATTTCTTACAGGAGTTCAAGTGATATGTATTTGCCAAGTAACTATAATATAAAAGGTTTTGTTTCATCAACGTTTGTACGAAGTGCTCAGTCTCTAAAAATGTTTAGTCATGATATCAATTAATGAGGTTACAGAGTGTTCAAAGATTGTGGATAAGTAAGGATTTGTCTGACACAAATTTGATTTTGTTTACATACACTTGGTGCATGTGCATACACATACTAGCTTGCATTTTTCAGATTGCACTGGTGTAAAAAGCTAAATCAAGAAATGCTTCCAGAATCTAAAAAATCTGAAAAAATCTGTGACTCTACCTTGTTCATGAAACGCTGCAGATCAATGAGTGCTAGGACCGACAGCGAGGGGGATATCAGACTTGTAAGAGCTGATGCTATGGTCAGCGAGCTGCATGAACTTGATACCCTGGAGGAACTGGGGGTAGACCTTGAGCTGGAGTTCCTCCACGAGCGCCATGATGTGGGGCTGACACCTGGAGAATACAAGCAGACATTCATAATTTATTTTTATTTTATTTTATTTATTATTATTTTTTTAAATTTATGGGGGAGAGAGAGAGAAGAGAGAAAATAATTATTTTGGGGGGATAGTCATCAATTTTGTACACATGTACTAGGGGTCAGCAATATTGTACACAAAATATCAATAATTTATGCTTAAAATATTGGAAGGAAGGGGGTGTCATTGATTTTGTACATGACATGCAGGGGGGGGGTGTCACTGACTTTGTACATAAATTTTAGGGGGGGTCACTCACATTGTACATGCTCCTCCATAAAAATCATCATCATCCCCCCTTGCCATAAATTATGAACAGTCCCTTACAAGTTATGCATATTTGCAGGGTAGGAAACTCCCAAAAGTTTCAGCCAGACCACAGGGCTGGTTAGATGTAAAACTTGCCAGCCCTAACCAAAACTTACCTGCCAACAAAATATCTTCATATACATCTCTAAATTTTAACCCGACCTTCGGGCGGGTGAATTTGAGAATCTGACAGTCCATGTTGAAAATAACCTGTCCCGGGTGGTCGGGCATGCAGGTATTTCGAACGCTGACATTTGCATTTGATATGCATCCAAAACTCTCAAAGTTGACATAGATCAGTGTATTATTCATACTGTACTTGTATGAAAATGTATCATTCATTGAGAGCAGATTGTTATCCAAGGGTGGAAACTCATGTAATTACAAATCTGTACAACAATGTCCCTCACAACTAAATAGTTACAGTAATACCTAAACTACAACTCTAGTGTAATAGTAATAACTTGGGTAATAAAATGTCCTTCCAACTTTCCTTGTAAGGATGGCAGATTTCTTGGGTTGGCTAAAGAGTTCGTTGATTGGAAATATCGTCAATTGGAAAAATTGTTAATGTCTATAGATATGAAAATTGTGGTATCGATAATATTGATCATAACAATTTGTGATAGTGTAAAGATTTAATTTACTCACACAATACACATGGGCTTCATTTGTACTCATATGGGAATCCAACCCTGGTCTTCCACATGACAAGTGAATGTTTTAACCACTAGGCAACCCCATCACCCCTATGCAGGGTTATGTCTTGACTGTATAGGACCGCACCGCGGCTCTCGGCTACACCGCCCCTTTATCGATCAAAAACTGGAAACTCATCATATGGTAATCTGTGTTTACCTTCCAACCCACTGACCACCGACATCCCAGTGGTCAGTCCCCGAGGCAGCCTTCATTGGAACAGTTTGCGTTCGACCACCCACTCGGTCTGAATTGAAACAAAAAGCAAATAAAATACATTAAAAAATTAATAAACTTCATAAAGCCACAAATATTATCAACGTTATGCATTGTTATCTAGAAAACTATTTCACAGTAATTTACAATTAATGATAGGAGGTAAACATCACTGTGTTTTTTCTCTCAGATGTGCAGATCGACATGTTTTTGAGCATTTGAAGGCCTCAGTTCATTTCAAACCTCAACAAGGGTAACTTTCTTGGTTTAATAATCTGTAAAGTGTTGAACTGTGATAAACATTCATAAATCCTCTGCGAGGCATGCAAAATAGGTCGACATCTCACGCTGATATAATTTGTAATCAATGTTGACTGAAAGGATGTTTTTATTTAGTACAACTGCACATTGTATGATCATGCGAAAAATGTTGAATTTCATTTTACTATCTGGTCACAATTTCAATGAACACGAGTAAAGTTTACTTCTATAAATAGACGCCCTTACATACAAACGAAATTGCATATTATCTGTGTGCAACAGCATCAATATAAAGTTAAGGGACAACCTTTGGCCTCCAAGACAACAACATGCAGACTTTGGTCCTTCTTTTTCAGGCGGTAGGCAGCTGACATTCCCGATATGCCAGCCCCGATGACAACGACGTCACATTTGGTCGTGGACATTGTGTCTCTGTGTGTGCAGCACCAGCTCTCGATCTAGTTGTCACAGCCAAATAAAGACAAAATCAATGCATTAGTTTCAAGTTAAATCAACGTGTCCACTTCCTCAAAGTCCATCGCCAAGTTAGGGAAAGATAACTCTAAATCATTGTCATTGTTATTAGAGTGTGTTGGTAGAGGGGCCATCGGATATAACCAATGACCTCAATTTATGACTGAATTAAGTATATAGTAAAATATGGTAAGAACTTACTTAAGTTATGAGCAATACAAATGTGATATTAATATAATTGGCAAGATGTTTTTATGACCTGTTATCGAGAGTGTATCATCTACTTAAAGGTAAGGTTTAATTGCAATAACTGAGGAATCGCATAGCTCGTTTTAATCAAAACAAAGTTTAGCAGTCGAGAGCACCAAGGTCAGATTTTAATTATCTTGAAAATATCGTGGACGAAGATGCCTTTTTACTTTACTCCAATGTGAGCAGAACTATTACGTTCAACAGTTAAACATTGTGAATTTCTCGTACTGTTAAATATTAAGATGTAGCAGTTATAGACAAATTGTCAATCCTATATTTACTCCTCAGAGAGAACATGCGTAACGCCTCTTTTCTGTATTAACTAAAGGTCTCTGGTCTTGAAAGTGCTTGAATAGAGGCTTAATTATGACTAACAGAAATCCGTTTCAACAAGTACCATAGGACATTTTTTATTTACCTCTATTCCCCAACACGACAGTGACTCCTTCAGTGATACTGACGAACCGGTATTTATTCCATATTTCAATATATCAAATTATCAATGATCATTATGTGTTTCACACATTTGATTTATATATATTAATGCAGTTAGTAATCTCACAAATTCTTGTTTTAGATATACGTGATACGCAAGTACTTTCATTATCAAAATTTGAATATATAATTTCTGTTGAAAATAGAGAAATGTACAATTATTGAAGGTGAAGTGTTCCTGCCAGCTTTGTCGGTGTGGGTACAATAACATTCCGTATTTGTTGAGGTGATATCGTACGTTTGCGGGAGCGAAGGGTCATATGTTTTTATCACTTCAATCCTCAAGAAAACATTCTTTAAAAAGTTTATGGTATGGTTTTGTATGTGTGTGTATGTCTCTTTGAGTTTATGTGTATGTATTAGGGACCGTTTATAATTTATGGCTAGGGGTCACGGGAGTAGGGGGTGGGGTTAAGCAATTTGTTCACATGTACGGGGGGGGTCATTGAATTTGTACATATGCAGTGGGGGGTGTCACATACTTCATACGTAAATTTAGGGGAGCTCATTTACATTGTAATTGCTTCTGAATAAAAATCATCACCACCAAACACATCACACCACACCCACCACCCTTACCATAAATTATGAACGGACCCTTACCTAATATTGCTAGTTTATGTATAGCTGTATTAATGTCCGATATCGTGGAAGAGTGGTTGATGTGGTTTGGTCGTTGTTCTTAAGTTTTCCTTATGTTACGCATTTTCGATTCCCGGGTAATCACAAATAAGAAAACTTGGTTCGCCTGCAGGGTTTTCACAATTTCCCCAAAACACAGTCAGATAATTCTGCTACAATGTTACATTTACATGAATCATTTTCCCATGGTATCTAATAAATTGAATACTTACTTGTCGTGCATGTTATCTGACAACATTTAAGTATAAGCAAACAGGGAAAAGTAAAACGCGGGCATACACGTTCAGCGAGACAAATACACCTGTTATTTTTAGTGGTATTCCAAAACAGAAGTTACCTGTCCCTGCCCGAGCATCAGTCGTCTGTCGTTGCCATTGGCAACGCTATCATCTTGCCGCTCTACAGCGAGAAGAAATAGTCTTGAGAGCGCCAAATTTGAAGCTTTATTGTTTCTGTGAAGGAACCAACTCGTAGTGAGTAGTATAAAATTATTCTTTTTACTTTCAATTGAACATTGATCTAATTTCTATCTCTTTTTGCATAAAATCGGTGATTTACAATGTGGATTAGGTTGTCTGACAAAACATCCACTTGCACAGTTTGAGATCCACTGGATCATTGGATGAAGTGATATTTACCAAAAAGCGGGTCCACATGCATTTCATGCCAAACTATAAGGGGCGGTGGAGTAGCCAAGTGGTTAAAGCGTTCGCTCGTCACACCGAAGGCCCAGGTTCGATTCCTCACATGGGTACAAAGTATGAAGCCCATTTCTGGTGTGATATTGCTGGAATATTGCTAAAAGCAGTGTAAAACCATACTCACTCAAGGACCTAAACTAAGGATAGGACGCACATATGATCACAAATCAACGTCAGTTGTTACTGAAGACCAATTCTAACCCGGATCTTCGAGGGTAAGACTGTATGTAGCACTGTTCCAATTGACACGTGCATCGGGTTTAGTAGTTCACTTTCATTTTGTATCAAACAGCTCAGAAAATAACCCAAATATTTATAGAAATGTAGAACGTTAAGATGTCTGTTGCACGTTATGTTGATAAATCTTTCAAGAAAACCACATTAATTGTATATATGGGCTAAAAAGACACATCACATGAGGCGTTGTCTACTGTTTAACGCCGCAATATTCCAGCTACATGACGGCGATCTGTAAATAAACGAGTTTGGACCAGACATCCCAGTGATTAAAATCACGAGCATAGAATCTACGCATAATTAAACATATGTGATACGATAACATGAATCAACCAAGCCAGCGAGCCTGATGATGCGATTCCTTTAACCGCCTCAGTGTTGCTCACAAAAGTGTCACTCAGTTTATGAATTTACCTGATTATTTGGCAGGTTCGGAAACTAAAGATCAGTATGCTGGGTTTCTGCCAGGGATTTTCAAACATGTTATGGAGAACAAGAAAAACATTGTCGACTTTTTCATAGCCCCAAACCAAAATCGTTCTCACATGCGCACTTGCTTTGTTTAATTCAGAAGCATCAGAAATTACATCCTTGTGTGATGTTAAATACAGATTAAATGGGCTTCGTTCAATGGCTCTCGAAATCGAACCAGGCCTAATTCTTCTTCATATTTGTAACTATGAACCAGTTACTCTTTATGGAAATATGAAACTCTTTGTGTTTACTGTGCAACGTTTGGCCGAACTCCGGTCACGATTTTTGTATTTGTATGTTGAAGACTAGTCCACTTGGGGTAAACGGGATCAGGTGGGGCATTACCTCCCACTTGGCCATTAACTTTGTTTCGGACAAAAGAGATTTGGGTATGTTATTTTGGGAGGACCGCCTGCTAAGCTATCTCTCGATTTCTGACTCCGTGGTGTAGTGGTTAGAGCGTCCGCCCGGAGAGCGGAAGGTCGCGGGTTCGATCCCCGACCGCGTCATACCAAAAGACGTTAAAATATGGTTTTGTTGGTCCCTGCCTGGCGCTCGGCATTAATTGGTACATCAAGGACTGGTCGGCTCGGAGTCAGTATACTGTGTCTGAGTGGGGTATTCATGCTTCACTGCGGCATGGTATCTCAGTGGGCTAGCACTATAAAACCAGCTTAAGTCTGGGCTAGTACAAGCAGCCGCACATACACATACACTCGCATGCACGTCGTCATATGAGCGAAATATTCTCAAGCACGACGTAAAACCCAATTTCACCTCACCTCACCTCGATTTCTGATATTGCTAAATGCTGCGCAAAACTATACTCACTCACTCTTTGCTTACAGGCTATTTGTCTTTTTCAAGCTAATTGAACACGTAGTGTTTAGTTCCCAGGTCGGGAGTGTTATTGAAGGCGTGTCATGATAATAATAATACTTAATTTATATAGCGCCTAGTATCCATCTGACAGGGAATGTAGCCTAAAGCCCTGTTTAAATGGACCGATTGCACACCAATGTAAATTCTGCATATGTGCAAATAAATACACGCAGGAGTATTTTAGTCATATAAACGCAAATGCAAACCTAAGTAGATTTGCATGTGGAGTAAATTTGCACCTGGTTTGGGCAGATGCAAAAGTATTTTTGCATGTATTTAAATTTACTCACGATGTAAATTTGGCAATATAAACGCATAGCAAATTTAATCTCACGTGTAAATTCTATCTGGTGAGCTATATTTCATGGGCTTTTGTCTATGTATACACCTAAAACATTTCATAATATCTATGTTTAGTCCTAGACGTCTGGTACAATCTAGACAGTGTATTTTCATTGCACACTGGCTTGTCTGAAACCACACACATGCTAAAAATGCCAGGCAGACAAAGAGGTTTAGCATGGTCTGATGAGGAAACAATGTATTTGCTTAATTTATGGAAGGAAGATATCATTGAATGTCAACTGGATGATCCTAAGATAGGCAATGCTGGCATTTATAAGAATATTTCTGAAACATGATAACAGGTGGTTATGAGAAGACATCGGACCAGTGCAAAGTGAAAATGCATACGCTTAGGCGTACCTACAGACTCACTAAAGGAAAACTGAAAAAGAGTGGAGCAGGAAGGGTAACATTCAAATACTTCCACATTATGGATGAAATTCTGGGATCGAGGCCAGCATCATCGCCTATCAAAGTCATTGAGAGTTTCAGAAAAAAAGAGACCGGCAACTTATTCGTCCAGTGAAGATGGCGATCCGGGAGACTGTAATGATGACAACAATGACAGTGGAAGTATGTCATATCTAGAAAATAAGGTCTCTACCACCGGAGATAAGGAGATCGATTATGTTGACGCCAATGCTGAAGATGAAGACAGCCAAATGAATGCCGATTTGGGGGAGGGCAGCGAAGAGGGTGCTAATAACAGTTCCAAGGACAAAGACAAGTCGTCTTTAGTGAATTCAGCTTTTAAACCGAGTCAGGAGGGAGAGGAAACTCCGAAGATAGTGAACAAGCAAAGGAAGATAAAGAAAAATTCGGCTTAAAGTGGCACTTGGCTCTGAAATTGATAGTTTTCATTCTGCAAGTGAGAGAACAGAAGATAAATATATTGATATTGAGCGGCAGAAACTTCAGACTGAAAGCGAACGCTTAGATGTTGAGAAATACCGCATTGAAAGCGAAGAAAGAGAACATCAGCTGAACATGATGAAATTGCTACTGGGTATGGTTGGACAGAATCAAGGAAATCAAGGACGCGGATCCAGCAGAA